GTATATATATAAATAATTAAGTATATATATATATATATATATATATATACACATACACAGTTCATTAACGTCTTTCTATAGACCCTAAATAAAATATTGACTTTTGAGGAAAATATACGTTCAAAGCAATTAGGTAAAGTAATAATTTAGCCTTACACACACACACTATTAGTAATATTTACTTAGATGTTTAGGTATTAGCATAGGCTGAAAACAAAACATACAGTAAGAAATGTTTGTACTAATGGAATCGTTCACTATACATCAAATTTCTTAAGACTATAAATCAAAGCAAAAACCCAAGATTCTAGACCTTTAAAACCAAAATGGTAATGAAGTATTGTATAACTGGTTACAAGAGACTTTATTAGTTTGCAATCGGGAAGCTTAGCCACATGAAAATGGCAGACAACAAAAATTGTATCTTCTGAATTATAAGTTTGTTATAATAACTTAATGTCATAAGAAATAATGTTGATTTATTTGCTACCAAGTTTGAGAAGCACAACAAAAACGAGACCATGAGTCTTACGGTTTTTTTTCTGACTAATTCACCAAAGTAGAACACAGGTTTAACTAACAAGGTTGATATACTGGAAATGTAAATATTAAATTCTGAAAAAAAATCTTTGAAATTTTCCACATAAATATGTAATTTTTGCCAATTATACATTTTCATAACCATTAATAAGGTCACCACAAAGGAATTCAGTTCAAATCCAAATAAAGTAAACTGACAAAAATAACAGGGAACAAAGTCAAAGATAACTTAGTATAAATTAAAATCCTTATTCTGTATGAACAGGTGATATAAGCCATCTAAACATATATTGTTACAATTAATAAACCACCATAAGAACTGATAGCAGGTATATGTATTAATAAATAGGTAAATTGTATAAAGTTGACCTAGTGTGTTTTATGAACTTAATACATTTTCCTGAAAGAATCCTACTTTCAGGAAATGAAAATAAAATAAAAAATCCCTAATTATCATAAGTTTGATGAAAAATGAAAATATTTATGTATGAAAATTACCAAATACTACCTTTGTGCCTTAAGCAAAAGATGGCAATAGGATAGTTATTCATCTTAAAAATGATACACTGTATAAAAATGAATTTAACATGTAAGATTTTACATTCATTTACAAAACATAACAGTCCTGTAAACTAAAAAATCTCAGAATGACAGCATTAGAAAAAGTGTCAACTAATAAACATCATATATGAAACAATGAAGGATGTCTCATATACTTTGGAAATTGTTCAATAACAGGCTCAGGTCAGCCAACATTTGCTCAAAAACTAGCATTTATCACAGGCTACCAGTGCAAAACAAGTACATGTTAACTGCTCTATTTGAGTTTGTCTTTCATCAAACATACTATCCATGTTGAGCTGCATAAACCAAATAATCTTGTAAAAAAAAAGTCATTTACCTTAACAGTACGCGGCAACTAGCAGTTTGTGACCTTTCTCACAAGTTGATATTACATTACAAGGCACTTCTACCTATTTGTAATTACTGACTGCAGATATCACAATTATGAAGTTTGTGCCTTGCAGTGATACATGCATGTCATACTTACACACACATGCAAAAATGATTATTTTTTATGAAAATTGCATGTGATACATGAATAAATTTTTAAGGCATCCCTTTAATATCAACTAACTAAGAGTAACAAAATATCTTTTTTACTAATCATGAATTATTTTAAGTGCAAAAGCTGCATGTGTACTACTAGAAGAGATGTTCAGAAAATTCCATGTTTTTTTATTTGTCAAAAGAGTTTCTAGGCCTTAGGAAGATGTTTTTATTGATGTTTTCTTCTGAAGCTCTTGATGTGGCTAAACAGCGATCAGTCTGAAAAGAAAGACTCATCTCATTAGTTCATTCACTTAAAAATAACTTCCTAGTAAAATACAATATTCTTTAAAACATAAGTTGAAGATCAATATAAAATAAGCAAATGAAGTTATAATACCATCAGGTATCAAAATTCAAAGTTTTATTTCTGAAATATACGTGCAAGTAACTTCCACTGAGACTACTATTTTTCTGATAGAAATATCTTTCAAGTTTTTAAATTATTAAATACACAGGTTTTCTAAGTTATTATATAACTATGAAAAAGAAAAAACAACATCAACATATCTCCAAATTATAAAAAATTATCTATCACAAACATATTTTAAAGTATTTATATTTAGCATATTTATTTATAGACACAATTTTAAAATTAAAACTGATTCCTATAAACTTAAGTCTTAAAATGCAAAATGTTTGTGTGCTTGTAAAACTAAATAATTTTACATGTTAATATCTAAAGGTAAATTTAAGTCCACCATAGCTGAAACATGAACAAGGTTTTTCCAGTATATGTGGATAAAAATCGTACCAAAAACTTTGTATCATATAAATAATGGTAATATAAGTTTTAAGCTATTATAACACAACAATAATGAAGAGTGTGATAAAGATTAACAATTAGAAACACATTTAATGCAACATAATGAGCTGCTGTACATATCAAGCAGTAGTGAAACATAGGAAAGCCTTAACAGTGTAAAAATTAGTAAGTTCTTATAAGGCTTAATTTTTTCTTCTTTCCATTTTTTAAAACTTGACACATTTAAACAATTTCCAAAGTATTCTGCTATAACCCTCCATTTTAATCTTGCAAATGTCTTTAAAAGTATACAGCTGAAGTCATATTATAAACCATAAAAACTCATCTGGTCAAAAGTCATTTTATTTAGTTTAAAAATTATAAAAAAAATTGAGTATGTTTTCAAGTGGGAACAATATTGGTTGGATTAGTTATCAATAAGACAATCATAATAATTTCAGTTTTAAAAAAGTGAATACATTTGTGGTTAATCTTGTACTCAGAAGTCGTTGACATTATTTTCAGCTTACTGTAAGTGGAAAAGTACACTTTTCCTGGTTATGAACTTGATATTACCTCATTATGCATTTCAAAAATACAGACAAAATTATGTATAATTATCTAAAATGTAATTTATGACTTTGTATAACACTGAAACAAATTTCTAGGCATGTTTTTACTAAAGAAAGATGGTTTGTTTG